CGAAAACGATCCTTTTCCGAGATACAGGGTGTTAAAAGTGAAGTCCTGATAACACTCTTTTGTAAATATTTTCGAAACGTTTAAAGATAACTAAGTGAAATTTGGAACAAATGCTAACCTTTTTACGCTCTACCCAATGGACTAAACTTCAGTTTTTGATCATCTTCATAGGTAGGTAAATTAGGGGGGCTAAGTTTTTTTTTTGTTGACAATTTTTAATATTTTTAACTATAAAATTTGGAAAACCAATATTTTCTTTATAATAAAGCTACTTTTGATGCATCTTGCCAGGACGCACTATTTTCAAGAGAAAAGCATTTGAAAATTTCATGATAAGTTGATGTTATCTTATTGGAAAGTGTAAACAATAATTAGTAGGCCTGTGGAATCAGAAATTTTATTTTTTTTGAACTTTGGAAAACCGGTGACTAAAGAACGTCTAATTTCGGGACACCCTGCATACTGAAAATATACATTTTCCTTTTAATTTGCTGCAGAAGTTCTTCTTTTGTAGGCATACTTGAGGCAGCAAATCCTTTAATTTTTTGTTTGTTTACCAAGCTTACGTCATAAAAATATTTATGATTTTTGACATTGTAAATATTATTTTTCATTTTGAAGGTGAATTTTAAACATTTAAAATTTGTATTTCACGCGTCTGACTGAAAAATTAAAAAATGTATTTTATCAGACATCTAAAAAATTGTATTTTATTTATTTTGTTCAAGCTTTGTTGAAAAATCTGCTAGTTATTAATAAATATTAACAAATGAACGCAAGATCCAAGCGTAGATTGACAATATCTATCTAAAAGACTATATTTAACCGTCAGACAATTTTATCGTATTCCCAATTTATAAAAAAATGTTAATACATTTTTTGTTGACATGAAATCGACAACTTTAACGCGTCAGACTGGGAAATCGGAAAATAATTTTTGTCACACAATATAAAAAGATTTTTTTGTATTTTTAATATACAGATATAGCAAAAATTTTCTAATGGTGGTTTTTTCAACATGTTTAAGATGGCGGACATAACCAATGAACCAGTGGTGGCTGGTAATAATTTAAAATGAGTGTTCACTTTTTGCAATAATTTTATCATTTGTAAGTTCGGTTCAAAACATTTTACAAGTGTAATTGTTATTAATAATAATATTTATAATTATTATCAATATCATACTGTTTTCAAGTTCTACAACTATTAATGAATACATAAATAAATATTTTATTTATTCTTATATTTGTTTTGTTTTTAATACGTTGAAAACCATCCATAAACATTATTAGTTAGTCAACTGACTTTTCTTCATATTTTGATATTATTTTTAAATGTATATCAGGGGTAATGTAGATTTTTGTAAAAAAAATTTATGAAATTTTACCTACCATTTTTCAGTTTTTATTATAAATTTATTTATTTTCACAATTTATCACACATGTCAAATAAAATAATATATTTTTTAAATTCATTTTATTGGCCAAAAAATCAAGCGAACCAAAATGTGTATTTCATAAGATCAGCCCTATCACAATAAATAATATTACATAGATACAAACTAAACTGAAGATATATAATGCGTGTTATTCTAAATTATCATTCTCACAGTTTAACAGACCCCCTTAACCCCCATTTACAATTAGATTTTTTTCAGAATAAATGGGCTTCATCCCCTTGTAGAGCTTGATTTTCCAAAAATTTCAAATATTATTGTTCGTTTATTAGTTAGATTTATTTTAAATATTTAAACACTCTTATCCACCTACTTTTATTCAATTTTTTTTTTCAAAATCAATTGGCCTCATCTCCTTATAGAGCTTGATTTCTACTAAAAAATTTATGTTGATATCGCTTTTTATTGTTGATTTATGATTTATGATTTTTTTTTAATTTCAACCCCCCTTAAACCTCTATTTTTATTCAGATTTTTTCAAAATCAATAGGTTTTATCCCTTTATAGAGCTTGTTTTTTGCTTAAAATTTTCAAGTTGCAATATTTTTCGTTTTTAACCTATAGTGCAGACAAAAAACGTGACATCGGACAAAGTAAACCTATAATACTCACAGACAATTGTGTGAAGAGTAGAACAATATAATCAAGACTAAAACAATAACATAATAGCCTAAAAAATAGGTACACTAAAAGTGTGATAAAGTCGAAGTTTTGAAAATTATTTAATAGGTATATCAGTACCTCGGAGATAAACTGCTTTTTAGTAGAGCAGACTGAATGTTGCTTGGACACTTTTCGTGTCCATATTTAGATATAATAATTATATTTCGACGAGAAATGCAGTTATTCCCCAATTATTGTCACAATACGTATTGTTTACTAAAATCTAAGTATTAAAACTTTTTTTTAATATACATGAATTGTAACATATTTCTATGTTCTGATAACACATTTTCTATGACATAGTGTTATATACCTCCAACATGCCTCTATAAATAGTACGACTTACGTGAGAGTTAAAAAGTGTTGTTTAACGTTTAACTTGTAAGTTTATTGAACGAACATAGTGTTATTTTTTTTTAAGTCAACTTTTATTGGGATATCACTATACATGGTATAGAATACCCCTGAAAAGGTCTCGATGAGCCAATTTTAAAAATATAACTTTTATAAAACTGCAATATGTTGACATAGTTCAGTTAACCTTCCAGGTAGATATCGGTAAATATTTAATTTAGTCTTCATGATATAGGTACATACCTAACATAGACACAACTATTAAGTTTCTTGAATTAATTTAGGCCCGTGCAATATTTATACATCGTCTTTAAAAAAACTGTAATGTAAGTTTATAAAATCCTTAGCGCTACATCATTCTGACACTCTAACATTTATAGATAGGAAATTTTTATAAAACTTTAAATTCATTAGGGACAACCTACAAAATAAAACAATTATTTATATAAAAATGTGCTACGGTCAAGAAATTATCCCCACTTTGAGTCATATTTTGATTAATTTTAAGTTAATAATTTTATATTTGAAAAGTGACGTAATGAAAATGTTTTTAAATTATTTAAATCACGCTTTTTTCAAAAAATGACACTTTTAGTTTCGTCATTGCATCTCTTTGTTCTATATCTATGATTTGAAGGATTCGTATGTCCCGGTCTACTTTGTGACGTCACTGTGTGCGATGCGCAAAATAAGGTGGTTTTAGTGATTTTAAGCAGGTTATTGTTCGTTTCACGGATCTGTTGACCTCTCCTTTTAGCTAAAGGCTTTCGCAAAAGCATCTTGCTTAGACTTACTCAGAAAAGTGAGCCAAAGAGACGCGATTAGCCAGAGTGCAGTAGCGTACCAAAAAATAGAGATTAACACATATGAAAACAATAAAATTATTAAAATTAAATTTATATTTTTATGTAAATAAAAATTTCCCTGTTTTATTCGGTCATGTTTTTATTTTTTATAATTTAAGCACTAGCACTACATATGTTTCGGATTTTTTTTTTCATCTTCTGGTGTAGTCAAAATTTAATAAAACATGGAGGACGATTACAAACAGTTCAAAAATTTTAAAATAACAAAGACCCCCATCTTTCTGTTTCACAGCGTGTGAAGGTGTATTCGAAATAATAATTTGGTTTAACACGATAAAGTAGGGAAACAAAAAGATAAGTCTTTACAAATTAAAAATTACCAGTGGCGTTACTGTTAAAAAGCTTTCAATTACTAAATAATATTTAAATAAACATTTGACGAATCTTTTATGTCCATTTTATTATTTTTATTTTATTTTTGTTATTTATTTTAATAATATTAAGTAATTGTAAGCTTTTTAATCCTTAACTGTTACGCCACTGGTAATTTTTAATTTTGTAAAAACTCATATTTTTGTTTCCCTTTTTTATTGTGTTAAACTAAATTATTATTTCGAATACACCTGTAAATACACGCTGTTCTCTGTTATTTTAAAAATTTTAAACTGTTTGTAATCGTCCTCCATGTTTTGACTGCACCAGAAGATGGAAGACAATTTTAAATCATACATAGTGCTTGTGCTTAAATAATAAAAAATAAAAACATGACCGAATAAACCAAGGAAATTTTTATTTATATTAAATTCTACTACGGTCAGGAAATTATCCTTATTCAATTTTAATTTTTATGTTATTTATTTTAAAATAATGTGTTTTTTATAAAATGTAACAACTGAACCAACGAAGAAATCGCCCCTGCAATAAACCACATTTATTTTTAGATAATTTTATTTTCAAAGATACAGTTCATGTTTTTAAGCTATCCTATTTGAAAAAAAAACACAGTATTTATACATTTTCTATATGTCGTATAAACGACATGTTTCGAGAGCGCCCCAAAAACAAAAAAAGTCATAGAGGAATTTGGTATCAGACTAGGTCCAATGAAGCCATAAACGAAGTTTGGTGAGAGTATGTATAATAAAATTTTTTCCTGTCTGGCACCCTAACTAGTTTAAGAGCTCTAGATCATTTACTGTGATTCAACAATAATTGTTCATTAGACTAGTTGGTGCTATCTTCTGTAAAGACATAATTTTTCAAATTTATAAAATGTGGTTGCAGTAGCGTTTCTTTATGTCAGGATTGTTAAAAATTTTCTGCTCTTTTTAACTTTCTAATAGTTATACTATGACAAGGTATTAGAGCGACTAAATTGGACAAACCTGACTCACACCATTTGCGCTTGTTACTTTACCTACAGTTAAAATGGCAAAAATATTGCCTCTGCAAAAAAATATACAAATGCATTGATTTTGTAGAATAGAGTTTTGGTGTATAAATAAATACATTTTATGAAACAGCGACACTGCATGACAGGTCTCATCAAAAGATTTATTTGGCTGGAAAATTAAATGAAATTTATTTAAATATATGCTAAACAAAAGCAAGAAATAATTTTAGAAACAACTACTATCTGTTTATTATTTGCAAATAATCTTTAAGATCGTCTTGATCTTAAAGATAATTGAAATAAACAAATGTTGGAAAACACATCACATTTTTCACAATATATTTTTAAAAGGCATGATTTTGCAAGAAACGATATTTTTTTCGATAAAAAAAATTAAATCTAAGATATAAAAGCAGAAGGTTCCAGAAGAGAACATCAGTCTCAAATCTTGTCTCAAGCACAGTTTTTTGATATAAATAAAATATTAATTATATTATTTCTAGATATATCATTAAAGGTATGTATCTGATTATATATATTTTTTAAATAAATTATGACTATGTACATTTTTAGATGACGTTATTTCTATATTTATTTGCTATAATTGCTACTTCTCAGGCACTTACTGATAAAGATGAATGGATCAATTTCAAAGTAAGTCTATTAGGTATTTCGAGCTTTTTATCTAATACCAACAATAAAATACTACTTGACATGTAAGTAGTAATACTAATATGAGGATTAATCACCTTAACTCATATTCTTGACAATTTACTCACACTGTAGTGTGAAAGTAGGTATTTACTCAAATTTAAATAAATTTTCAAAAAAATAAATTTAATTGCTCATTAAAAACAAACATTATTTTCAAGGGCAATAACTTTTTTATCTGCATTTTACAGGCAAAGCACGGAAAAATCTACAAAAGTTCTATAGAAGAAATTCAACGCTTTTCAATTTTCCAGTCCAACTTACGCAGAATTGAATCACATAATACAAAGGAAGAACAAGGCTTTTCTTCTTTTAGAATGGGTGTGACCAAATTTGCAGATCTCACTCGTCATGAGTTCAAAGACATGATGAAGTTATCGAAGCGTCAAAAGCCAAAAAGTTATGGAAGCATTAGAAAATTCGACGATACAAGAGATATTCCAGCTGAGGTAGATTGGAGCAAGAAAGGAGCAGTTACCGAAATCAAAGATCAAGGACAATGTGGGTCATGTTGGTCTTTCAGTGCAGTAAGTAACTTTTCTGTTAAATTCATTAAAAATACTTATAGCCATTTACAACCTGTATATAATTAAACAATAATTTTCTTTGTTTTTTATTAGACTGGCACAATAGAAGGAGCCAACTTTATCAAAACTGGTAAACTAATTTCATTAAGTGAACAAAATCTGGTAGACTGTGATTCTGATTGCTACGGTTGTGGAGGAGGATATATGATTGATGCACTAAAATACGTACAGAAAAATGGAATTATGGCCGAAGATAAATATCCATATAAAGCAGAAGACGAGAAATGCCGTTTTAATTCCTCTGAGGTGGCTGTTAAAATTTCGTCTTTTACTCAAATAAAATCTGGCGATGAAAACGATCTTCAACAGAAAGTTGCTTTAGTTGGACCTGTTTCTGTTGCTATAGATGCATCTTGGAATTTCCAATTGTACTCATCAGGTAATTATTTAATAAAATATTAATCAGAATTTTATCAATATTATAACGTCTCTACATCTCTATAGTGGAGTCTGTATATAAATAAATAATCATCTCTTTGTGCAGAAATGTCAATTGTGATTTTTCAATTTAGGTGTTCTCGATGATGATTCTTGCGAAAATTCAGAAGAATCGTTAGATCACGGCGTTTTGGCTGTTGGATACGGAACTAAACATGGTCAAGATTATTGGATTGTTAAAAATTCTTGGGGTGAAGATTGGGGAATTAAAGGCTACGTCTGGATGTCAAGAAATAAAAACAATCAATGTGGAATTGCTACTGATGCTGTCATAGCCATTGCGTAAAATGTTGTTTAAATTTTTTTTTCTAACTGTATCATAGTTAATTTTAATTTTTAGATCACTCTGACTTCTGTCAGTTTATTGTTTAAAACCATTTAATAAATTTTAAAAATTAAAATATTTTTTACTTGTTCAATGAAAATTATGTACCTACTTATTAATCTAAATAAAATAATTCGGCTATAGTCATTGGTTACTTTAGGGACTTTTTGTGGATCACATGTTATCATAGCAGATATTTTTTCCCATCCGCAAATAAATATGACTTTATTTAGATATTTTATCATATAATTTTAAATAAAAATTACTATTTATACTATTGTGGCAATTATTATGAATTGTTATCCATTTATGCCGTTTACCAAGACTAAATTATCTCTTGGTTATTTTTATTATTTGAAACTACCCGTTTCTCTTAAAAATTGTTATGAGTCTTCTTACCAGACCTATTAATTGCAAAAGTAGCTTTTATACATTTAATACCACTAGGATTATTTAAAATTAATTATAACAGCAGTCAAATGAAGACAAAGAACCTGTTCTATTTTAGTAATAGTTGTTAATTTTAAAAGAGCAAATAAACTAAAATTAGATTAACTGATTTTTCCTTTCACTTATTACCCATAAAGGAATATTTTATCATAATAGCTAATGGGAAATACGAATTTTTGGATCATTTTCCTTTCTTAAATAAATCTCCTATACTCAGATATCTTCTGTCCACACTATTTGTCATATGTTCAATTTTCCAGTCATTGTGTGGTTAACGAGGATTTTTTTTTTGTTTTATATATTCCTGGGTATGGAGATTTTTGGAATATATATATTCAATCCATCTGAAAGCAAACGAAGATAATTTTATGAAAGGTTAAATCTTTTCCCAACCTATGGGAATTGTTTATGAAATATTTTCACCAGTGAGGAATATTATTGAGATGTTAGATTCATATTTAATAGCACCTCAAAGATGAAGTGATCTTGATATACAAACAAAGGTATGGAAAAATATTGTTTTATGAGCTATTTGTGTTAACATTGTGAATATTTTAGATACTTGTAGCCCTTCTAGTTTTTGCTTCTGGAAGCTATTAGTTAGAAATGGGTTCTACGGTATTTTTGTGAGTAATTAATCTTCTGTAAAACGTTGAAGAAGTTTTAAGTGCTTTAAACAACGAATTATAATGAATCGTTGGATTAAAGCTCCAGAAACACTTGGAGACTGTGAAGTTCTTCGGCAAATGTAAGTAAATATCTTTGATAACTCATTGAATGTTTTCTATTATATTTTTTTAAGTTTTTACAGTAATTTGAATTTCCTGGAATTACAGGAGTTATTGACTGATGTAGTCACAGCTTTAGTGTTTCTCCGGCAGCAAATAAAGAACGCCATTACGTAAATAGGAAACATTACCACTCATTAAATGTTCGTTGGTGTGTATTTTCTTACTCATAAATTTAATAGACTACATTTTAAATTCATAAAATTTTTAGATTTGCGATTCCAACATTAAAATTAATTCCAAAATTAAAAACGAAATCAGAATGTATTTACATTAAATTTGTAAATATTATTAAAAAATCATATCTATATAAGTATATTTTATATAGGTAGGTATATACTTTTTATATTCTTATTTTAGTTATAGGGGTTTGTATATTTATTTTATCTTTATGTATATTAAATTTTATATAAACTCTTTGTGTCTTTTTATATGTTTTTAGTAAATTTAAAAACACTTTTTTTTAAATTAATTTATTATAATTTTTATTTCTGCCTTTTTAAGCAATAGCTTACTTTGCTGTTATATAAAGATAGATTACTTGTTATAATATATACTTTTCTCCAAGATTGTCCAGCACCTGTAATTGAATTTTATTTATCCACAAATTAGCATAATCTACTTTCGTAATTTGAAGACAATTTATTTGTGGATTTTTCACCATAAACACTCAGTATTTTTTTCTGTTCTTGCAACATTCCGAACTTCTTTTTTGAATTCCATAGCACTTATTTCAGTTAAACAATATTTTATTGATATTGGGTATAAAATCACTATAAACAACAAAAAATCGCGCCAATTTATTACTCGAGTATATGCACAACACACTCAAATGTATATATGTTTCCTATTGGTTTTTCATTAAATAACAAGGGCGTATACCTAAGAATAGATAACTCATTTGTCGTTTAAGTTGTTCAACACATGAACTATATCGTTTAAAAATTCTCGTTTGTGAGCGTGTTCGTTCCATGAGCGAATATTTCGAGAATCGACTCCCTTGAGTATCTCATTATAATATTATATTTTGCATTTTTTCAGCTGTAAATATGGTACGAAACTATAAAATAAGAACAAAGAAATGTGAGATTAAAGAAGCTCTAAAAGATATTACTAGAGAAATATACTCTTGCAGGCAAGCTACAACAATTTAGAATATAAAAAGAACGACACTTTTATTTATATCCTCCAAAAGTTTGGGTAAAGAAATGGTGAAAATTCAGGAAAGGAAATCGAATGTAAAAAAATCAAAATGTGGTAGTAAACAGGTTTTTATAAACTAATCCAAGAACTTTTGGTTGAATATCTACAAAATACAAGTCACTATGGTTTAAGCTATACTCAAGTGATATCTTTAGGATACAAGTAATGCCAAATATATAATATACACAGGATGTTTGTTCTAACTCTACTTTTGAGAGGTTACAGCTTTTTCAGAATAAGGCAACGAGAGCTATTTTAGGATGTAGCAGATATAGCATTCAGCTTATGTGGACTACGTTGAACTGGTTGAATATGGGACAGTTTTTATATGCAGGCAATAACCTTTATTTTTAAAATAGTAAATAAGGTATTGAAATGTCAACGTACTCATATTTCTTACATACATCACTACCACACAAGAGCTGCGAATTCTATTAATTTTTGTGTTATAACAAGTAGGAAGGTAGAGTTCAAATTATTCAATAACCTCATGATATAAACTCTCTTTAAAAAGCTAAATTATTTTAACAGTAGTTAGTTATGTTAAAACTTTCAGCAAAGTTTCTTGTGTTTGTGTTATTTTGTCATCGCTTATTGATTTATTATCTATTTATTTTCAAAATACTCTCTACTTTTGTACATTTATGTATCTTCTTATTTTTTGTATGAATTAAATATAATCTAATGATCCATTATAACAATGATTGGTTTTTTATGCTTCCCTAGAAAGGTTTTTTATCTTTGTGATGTACCTATACAGAACACAGTGAGATAATGCAGCCCTGTAGTTATATTATTTAAATGTTTATATATAATTGACAAATACACATTATTATTATTATTATTATTAGATAGCTACTTTATTTTGAAAATTAAATATTTTGAGTTTGATGTCATGTAGTCATATTTTTATGTTGTTTTTTTTTTTACTTGAGAATATGTATATATCAGTCACAAATAGTATTTTTTTTTATTTATAATACACATCATGATTATACCTACTAAAATTATGTCAAATGTGTCCACACTCCCCTATGTACTTTTACAAATAAGTCGAAAAATAAAATATAATATTTAAAAAAATTAAAGGTCTATAGTCAGCGTGCCATAAGCCCATAATTTATTGAACATAGATGTAATTCCTCCTTAAAGTGACTATGGACCAATAATTTAATGTTTATTAGCAAAAGTAAAAATATACAATAAATTATTTTTAACAATTCAATATAGACTACTGATTAACTGGAGTAAGTACCACACAATTAGACTGATAAAACCTTGTACATTCAAACTAAAAGTTTAAACATTTATACAATTAAACAACAGATAGAAAAAAGACAGATGATTTCTAGTAATATATGCAGATTATGATTGTGTACCTAGGAATGTGAAATTAGATTTAAATTGTGTTTATTTTTAAATAAATCAATTATGTCTTCCAAAACTACCTGATTATTGAGAGTCAAGATTAGTTTTTTGAAAAATGTACTTAGGATTGAGTAGGGTTTTATTAAAAAACATTATAATATTTTGGTAAAGTAATAGTAAAATGTCTTTATTTTATGAATATTCAACATTGATCCTAAGAAGATGAAAAATAGCTAGATTATTTCATTATTTCTTAATTTTCTCATTTTACAACTTATTTGCACATTACAAAACTATGTACCAAAAACATAATATAATGATGGTGTTCTTGTTCAAATATTTCTTGAAGATCATAATTTGGCTCAATTTAAAAATTTGTTCTGGTACTTGATGTTTGATTGAAATAAAAAGATCATGTATTGTTCAACTACAAATGAGTCTTCTTTCAGTTGTTACACAGGAAGAAATTGCTAAATATTTTCTCTTCAAGAAAATACCCCTATTAGTCCAGTCATTATAGTAAGTTCACCTCGGAATTCGAGATACCCAGCTGTAAGTCTGTAAATACTTGTATATTGACACCCTTAAAGTTGTCTCAAAACATACATATGGTAGGGTGTACGCAACTATTAAATTTCAAGGTCAAAGGTCACAAAAATCGGTTTTTTGCGCTTTTTTGTAAATATCTCATTTCCTATGGGTTTTTTGCTATTTGTATTTATTACCTTGTATTGTAGAATATAAAATTCTCCACAAATTTTTTTAAAAAATTGTTTCATACGGTGAACTGTTTTTGAGATAGAGGGAGGAGAGCGCGCGGTCACAGCATCACTTCAGGTCAACCGGTGCCTCCGGTCGAAAACGCGCCATATATAGTTGATGAACTATCGATAAATCAATGATTATAAATATTTGTCAATTTTTATTAACTATTATATTATATTTTATCATTTTTTTCCTAACCTATCCACTTTTTATTCAGTATTAATTTATTTAACAACACTTACCTGCCCATGTAATTGCAGAATTGTTAATGAAAATATAGGAATTATATTTGAATTTTAACCTAATTAATATTAATAACTTCTTAGATGATGAAACAAAAAAACAAATAAATTATGAATTAATCTTTTTATTAAAAAATATCATTCAATACATTTTTTTTTATTAAAAGTAAAAAATGGAATAAAGGGTACAAAAACTACAATTTAAATTTTAATCATCTTCTTCCTCTTCACCGTCGTCTTCAGGCTGATGGTAAATTTCAAACTGGTCTTTATTACCGTCTCAAGTTCTTCCATGATTTAGGGGTCAAAGGTTCCATCTTTGTTAATGTCGCTCTGATATGGTAGAGCATTGAGACAAGCTTGCCCATTAGATTGGCCACAAGCTAAAGAGCATTGCAAGCCCGCTTTCCTGCATCCGCATCGTGAACCACAACCACTCTTGCAGTTCCAGAAAATTCTATTTAGCAAATCTTCTGGAGCAGATGGTAAAATTGTCATGATAGGCTCCAGAAAATCGTTTCGCATTGCCCAACCCCATACCTGGGGTTCAAAATCATGCCCTAACCAAGTTTGAACTTGATAATATACACGTTTGAAATGTTGATGAGCAGCTGCACTTGTTGGTAGAATATTTGAAAGCTGCACAGGTTTATTAAGTTTTGTAGACTTGACGTAATGCATATAACGAAGATGATCGAGACTTTTCACAGATTTCG